GGGGGGGGGGGGGGGGGGGGGGGGGGGGGGGGGGGGGGGGGGGGGGGGGGGGGGGGGGGGGGCGTGCTCTGGCATTGTGCTTTCATCTCAAGCCCTCGCTTGTCGGGGGGCATGGATGTAGTGTGATACACCGGTCTGCCGAACAAAAGCCCACAGCAGCACCAGACATACCTTGTCTGAGCAGATGTTGGTGGCGTTCCCCATGGTCTCGCACGCGGCCAGCACGCGGATGAGGTTCTGGTCCTTGTACATCTTTCTCGTCGAGTACGCCAGCGAAATCGTAACGGCAAGGGGAAGCCCCTGCACGAACAACAGAACACGCACACCGATAAGCAAAAGTTCCTTGTCGGAGGTACACACAGTTAAGCGGACATGGAAACGTTTTTTATCTTGTAAACACAACAACAACAACAGCCACACACAGGTTATGCATGCAAGTTGTGAGATTGTGAGCAGGGGTCGCAGCTGTTGTTTGACAGTGAAGACAACAGCAAACAACACGAGTCGGCGGCAAGAATGCTCCGGGCCACAGGCGTGCAAGCGAATCGACGGCGGTGGTTACGCTTGAAAGGACATATTAATAGCGAGGGCTACGTTGGACGAAGCGCAAGGGGATGCAGCACGTAGGACTAGAAGGGAGGGTAGAAAACCACGACGAGAAGATGCCAGAAGCTGACCGAGCTCGAGTTGAAAAACTAGAGGCCTCACGTTGTAGCTCTAGAATAGCTTCAGCAGTAAAGCAACACTGAAATACCTACTGCCATGCCCATGTGCCGACTACATTTGCGTGAAAAAAACTACGTTAAACACTAAATTTGAGAATATACCTTTTTTGCGGTAAGTTCGCCTGTGACCACCGAAATCGACCGCGTCAGTGGCACATCGACACGGAAAGATGAAGATGCTGGGTAGCCAGAGGGGACATCGGGACAGTTTTCTAACGCAAAAAAAACAACAACAACAACAACAACAACAACAACTCGCCTCCGGGATGGCGACCACCACGATGGTGACACCGATGATGAAAGCCTCGACCACCCTCTCCAGAACCTCATCGCCGTCGTGCTTGGCCCAGATCATCACAACGAGGGCGGTAAAGGTGGCCACCGCGAAGGCCACCCCGATGTACCTGGTCATCATGACGTTATCATCGCCATCATACAAGCCAATCACAAGCATCGAAAAACGCCGAACAGCAAATGACGTCATCATCGTGAACCACCGTGTGCAGCCAATCGCAAACATTGAACAACGCGGAAAATACCGTGTTGGGCTTCTGGATACGTCGGGGGATAGCGAAAGCTTCCTTATTCTTTGGTTTTGTGTGCATCACTTTAAACAAGTCCGAGCTCACACCACAAACCAACTTGAGTGAGGTGAAAAAACGAAAAAGGCGGCTGTGTGTAGAAACGTTCTTCCCAAAAGAGGGTACCGTGCAATCTCCCCAACGGCTGTCGAGAACAATTCCCTCCTTCACGTTGGGATCGCGGTGAGGTCTACTTTGGTACAAGAGAATCCGGGTTCAATCGACCAACCCGCTATGTTGATTTTCAAAAATGGAAAAAAAATAATGGTGGAGGCCAACAACGATTTGAGCTTCAACAACAGTGACGCGAACGTCAACAACCGACAAAAAATCAGCCGTAGCAACAACACCAACGACGACACACTACCGTAGCAACACCCACCCGATGAGTTTGGCCATGTTGTCGAGCTTCTCCTGCAGAGGCGTCTGTTGCGGCTCCGACACGAGGGTGGCCCTGATGAGGCCCCACTGGGACTGCTCTCCCACCGAGTGCACCATCATCTTGCAGTCGGCGCTTTGACCGACCTCGGTCAGCATGCAGCTGAGAACAACGCGGCGAGATCAGACAAGACGTAGACACGCACACACAACGATACGGCGAGATGAGACCAACACCGAAAGACCTACATGGATTTAATTCGGCACGCAGCTAAACACAATCGGCGAGGTGTGCGAAGACAACCTACAACAGCCATGGACCAAAATAGATCAGCATGCAGCCTGGGATAAAAAGCCAAGGCTGGATGTCCAAACATTAAACAGACCTGTGCATATGACGGGTCAGCATGCGGCAACAACAACCAAAGGTCGTCCCTTCTTCGCAGGCGGTGACGTGAGCGTGTAGTCGACATGGTATAGGACGACGCCTCCCGTAAGGACGCAGACACGCGCCAACTTGCCGGACGGAAATCGATTCATGCTTCCACGTTGCCCAGCAATGTACTTGTCGAACAAAAAAAAAACAATATTTCCCCCCTTTCTTCCCCCCGGTGTTTGCCATCGGGGTTGGGTTTTCGTCGCTTGGCAACGACGTTGTAAAACAAGCCAATTCACTTCGTGAACTCGGCAACCAGGTTATCGTTTTTGTTTTCCTCTGTTTTTCTTTTTGGCGGTAGCCATAGTGGTGGTCGAGTAGATCATGTTGTGCGGGGTGGAGAACCCTCACTCCGCGCAAGGGGGATGATCGCACCACGTTGTGTTAAAATGGTCAAGCACCCTCGAGGCAGTTACACAGTGCTTACAACTGTCTCTGGAAGTGAAAGCACCAGAAAATAAATTAAGTCATACGCAGCTGTCATCCGTACGCAAGGAAGTAAGCACAAGATGCCGAACACCCTTAGCAGGATGCAGCGCACCCTTCATGCGACTCGCCGAATATCTCACGGCGCTTCGCGCTTGGTGATGTGAGAGCCTGGTCCGGTGAGACCCCGGCGTGCTCCGTCCCGGCTTTGTAGGGATGCGAGGTCAAATGTCTAACGACCACGGCATGCACGACCATGAGTACACGCCCCCCGCCCCCCGGCGTTTGCCATCGGGGTTGGGTTTTCGTCCCTTGGCAACGACGTCGTATAACAAGCCAATTCACTTCGTGAGCTCGGCAACCAGGTCACCGTTGTTGTTTTGTTCCTCTGTTCTGCTTTGGCGGTGACCATAACGGTGGTCGAGTGGATCATGTTGTGCGGGGTGGAGAAGCCTCACTCCGTGCAAGGGGGAAGACCGCACCACGTTCTGTCAAATGTCACCCTCGAGGCAGTTACACCACGGCCGTGCTAACAACTGTCTCAGGAAGTGAAAGCACCAGAAAGTAATTAAGTCATACGCAGCTGTCATCCGTACGCAAGGAAGTAAGCACAAGATGCCGAAAACCCTTAGCAGGATGCAGCGCACCCTTCATGCGACTCGCCGAATATCTCACGGCGCTTCGCGCTTGGTGATGTGAGAGCCTGGTCCGGTGAGAACCCGGCGTGCTCCGTCCCGGCTTTGTAGGGATGCGAGGTCAATGGTCTAACGACTACGGCATGCACGACTATGAGTACTATGAGTACACCCCCCATCGTTTGCGGAGGGAAACAAAGAAGTGCAATTGCGAAAATCCAAATAATATAAATATATATGTACGTGTATGAACAAGGTAGATACATGGTACACCGCTGGCATCACCCCTTCAAGCGACACAAATCAAGGCACGCACCCGCAGGACCAAGGCGGAGAAGGCAAAAAACTCCTGCCTGACCTTGCTGCTGTGTGACACCGGCTGGTGCGTCCACAAATTGCACCGACAGTTGTGTAACATGCAAGCACCCACCTTCAAAACAAGTGGCGCGACAAACAAGAAGAAAAAAAAATTGCCGGCCCACCTGCTGTAGAGGAAGCAGTCGGCTTCCGCCCGCTTGGTGAGGTCGTCAGGCTCTCCCGTAAGTCCCGACTCGTTGCTCTTAACCCCCTCTCCGGCGAAGAGCAGGCCGTCCGCGGGGATGCCGTCCCCGGGTTTCATAATCACAACGTCGCCCACGACGAGTGCCTCGGGATGTACCTGTTTTATATTTCAAAGCGACAACACGAGGAAAGAGTTGTTTTAATAAATGATACATTTAAACTACTTCATAGAGTCAAAAGTAACTACCCCGTCCGAGGTATAACAACCACAGCAGCAACAAAAAACAGAAAGAAACTAACGGGTGGGTCTTGCTCCTGGCAGGCACAACGCGAGTTCGTTGATTGTGAACTGCATCGACCGCACGCTGGCTGAAGCATGCTTCACCGTGTTAAACACAAGGAGCGCATTCAATAGTCGGGAGCTTGTGCGCGGGTGTATGTGTGATGATCAACAGTGTCGACCGCGTTAACGGGCTGGCCAACGAAAATACTTCAGTCCCAGTGCGGTTGAAATCCGAAAATGCTTCTACTAAAGATGACGGTCTGGGACCCCGAGAGGGGGCGTCATCGGGGAGGCAAAGCTACGGAACTCTCTGGATACAAGACAGCAACGGCGAATAGCAACGGAAGAATATTATACAACGTGTCTACCAACGCAGCTATTCTTAGCAGTGTGCGTGTTCGTCCCATCTACCTAGGGCCATGCTTGGCGTCATCTGCCGGAGTCCTACTACAGTGTCTGGGATTATTCGCATAGTCGCCAGTTGTTGTGCTATTTTCCCCCGTTTCAACCGGCGTGAATGAAGTAACTCTCGTGACGACGCCCGCGCCTGGGCATCTCAAACCTCTCTAAATATCACGCCCCCATTCACACACAATCGTGCCTTCAAAACTGACAAGGAACACTCTGCGCATACTTCTACTACCGAGGATTGCATGAGACAACTCGCACCGCTGTATCGAGCTTCAGAGCTCACTTTCTCTGCAACAAAACAGCGGCGGCGCGGAAATCGGCTGCGTTAGAACCGCCTCATCGTTCCAACAAACGTGCCATATCAGGTTCGATATTTTCATCATTTTTTGTCGTGGGGGTACATACTACTTCACGAGCGCGCTATGCATGCAACACATGGTAGTATGCCCTCCCCACCCTCCCCCCGCGCGCTAATAGTCTCACCAGCTGCGAAGCACCGTCCCTCAGCACCATGACCCGAATACCCTCCTCCGAAGTCTTCTCCAACGCACGGAACTGCAGCTCCTTGCTGTAGTCGTTGCCAGCCGTCACCAGAGCCACGATAAGCACGGCGATGAGAATCGCGACTCCATCGATCCATCCCTAGTCCACAGCCAACGCGACAAGGAGGCGTGATGCAAGCTGGGTCGTGGGGGGCACGGAGGACTGTGTGTCGCCAACACGTGGACATGCCACGCCACTTTCGCCTGAATCTAGGGGGTGCTGTGAAGACACAGCATGAAATGACTTCACACGGTGGCCCTCTCTTTTACGTATGCATCTCGATGAATAAACAGCTGAAACGAAGGGCCCAACAACGATGCATCATACCGCCGTACTTTTCGCTTTTCAATTTGAACTCTACGGAAAAACGACATTGCGATGCAGAATCATGTGCTTGACCGCTGTGATGCGTTACACCCACGAAGCAAGCCTGACTAGCACCACCCCATCCGACACTGCCATCTTTGATCTGCGGGCTCGGCGACTTCCACGAGCGAAGGGCCGGGGAGTGTATCGGGCCTGAGGTCAGAGATGGCATGTAGTACTGGGTGCGTTGATGCTAGTAAGGTTTGCGTCGAGGGGGTATCGCATCGAGGTAGTCAAGGCTCAAAGCACATCGCGCTGCATCGCACTTCTCAATTACGTCGCCGAAAACATGAATCAATAACAACAGCAAAGCCGCACCACTAACAAAAGAAAGAACGGGAAGCCATGACAGCCAACAAGGACCCAGCACTACCGACAACGACAGGATCATGGACCATATCAACAGCAACAACCAACAACATCCACAACAAGCATCATCAGCAACAGCTTTGTAACTCACGACGTCGGGGTGATCAATGATCCCGATGATGAGCGATACGACGGCGGCCGCGATCAGCACCAGAAGAATAGTGTCGTTGAACGCCTCCGCGAACAGCATGCAGAAACTCTTCATCGGGATCTCCGGAAAAGCGTTGGCCCCGTACGCTTCCCGCAGGAGTTCCACCTATACGGTAGCCATGTCCAGACATCAGACGAGGCACTAGTTCCATGGGGAAAGTCGTGACTCAGGAAGAACCACCTCCGCGAGAATTTTTTTGTGAGGAACTACGACAAGGAAGGGTGTGTGCAGACCCTACGCCTAACCCAACTTCCCCGATAGCATGGTTATCCAACATGTCCACATAAAAGGAAACCGAAATGAGTTCTCCATGGATCAATTGGACCAAGGCGGAACAAACAAGCGTACGTACAAAAAAAAATGTGGAAAGCCCGCGCTGCAAAAATCTCCGTCCTAGGAGTAACAAAAGACAAAACCAAGCCACAAACAAAAAAGAGAGGGCACCGAAGAGAGCACGCGCGCATGTCCGTCCCACCTGTTCCGTAGCTAGCCCCTGGCTTAGGTCGACTCTGAGGCTTTTAGCCAGTCCCGTTGTTCCGTTAAAAGTTTCATCCAATCGTTTTCTGTTTTCTTCTTGTTCCTGCAAAAAAAAAAACATTGTGGAGGTGGGGCAAGCGTGAAGGAGTGGGTAACTGCAGTCATCCTGCTTGAAGGACACAACCAACCAAAAAGTGGAGATGGGGTTTGTTTGTGGAAGATAACACAGCAGTCATCCCCACTTCAAGGACACTCATGGCGACAATGGAAGTTGCCCTTGAAGCGGCGAGGGGTCAACGAAAACTGAACCCCCCCTGAGCATTTCTCCATCCCGCGGGGCGGGCACCACAATCGTACCCATGGTGACCGCTGAGTGTGGGAACCAAGAGGCGAGGATGAGAGGAGCAGGACGCACCGAATGCGACACGGACAACGCAAACCCAAATCCTTGACGCGTAGCGTGAAACACAAACACGAGCATCTCTCGCAGCATCGCGGAGACAACACGAACAGTATGAATATATCCATCTTCTTGGGAGTTTGGTCGCTTTAGCCTCGAGGCAGCCACGCAAGAGCACATGGTCACGGAGGTTGCACATGTCTGTCTCAGCGTGCGGTAATGAAGACTACACTGGAGGATCCGCAATAACGCCAGTTTGCGCCGGGCCAATCCGACATGCGCTATTTCGGGTGACCGGCGCTGATCAAAGTATGGAATGGCTAGGCGATTCAATGACTTGACATTCGGTTTTCCGCAGCAATTCCACCCGCGTTTGACAGGGAAACCGGTCATCTTCAACCAGAGTTGTTGAGAGCCCACTATCATTCGTGCCAAGGGCACTACAGTCTGGGAGAGAGACAAGAACAACGAACACACACCTGTGCCGAGCCGACGAGCGCCAAAAGCTTGTCCTTTGCCACCATGTCACTCATGGCGCCCGCAACGCTGGAACTGCTTTTCTGTGCACCTGTCGCGGGGGGGGACACGAACCACGATAAAACAAGAGACAACTAATATACACGAGCAAAGCATGAACATGAGACTAACCCAACAAAAACCCAAAACAAAAACAACAGGACCAGTAGCCTTAACAGCGTTTTTCTGTTCAGCAGAGACATAATTGGACAAAGCAAGCAATCGGGGAAGGTGGCCAACGAGAGGGGGCACGCGGAGGGCAGAAGCAATACAGGGCAACAAGCACTGGACTTACACTCTCATCGGCATCGCACCACACAGTAGTAGTAGCGCTGCCGGCCGCATCAAGTGTCATACCGTTTGCGGTTGTAGCTTGCCTTTCCGGGGACCAAGACTACCGGATTTAAAGTTTTGCTAGAGAGCGGAACGCCGGCTTCGAGCAATATCCTCCAAACAAACCTGGCAATCACTATTTTCATCATACACGCAAGCTTTTATGCACAATAGTCCGGGGGGTAGACCCGGCCTTTGCTCAAGCCCGTTCCTTCATTTTCCCCAGTGTTGCACCTCCACGTGGTGAGGAGTCGCTAAATAATAGAAGTGCTGTAAGTCGGAATAAAACTGTTTTCGAAAGGAACCCGAATGAAGGGCTCCCAACTACTTGACCCTTGAATCTGCTGAGCTTTGGCGGGCATTGTATTCGAAGATGAATCAACCGCAGCCGCAGAAGGAATCCAAGACATACAACATTGCTGTACACCGGTTGTGGGCGCTATGCGCACCGCGGTGAGTTCATTCAAGCCACCTATACACCTCTGTGAAGCTAAGATGAATAATCTACCATGTTCCCAGATTGATTTCACTGGATACAGACTCAAAAGAAACGTCAAAATCGGTTCGAGCCTCACCAATCCCTTCTTTTGGGTCGAAGTACCGGCCCAAGCCGCCCAATTCGAAAATGACATTTCTTCTTCCCTTGGACTGACTGTCGCATCTTCCCGATTCTCTTGAAAGACTATGACAAGTACTTCGTATTTTCTTTATTCTGTCTTTTGATCTCTGAGGACTATCCACATCATCAAGCCCTCAAGAGAGGTGGTGGAGAGTGCTATCAAATTCGTACAACAGCGGAGAGCGTATGGTTGTGAGATGTGTGGCAGTACTACAGCAGTACAGCACTCACTGTGAACAGCAGGGGCGTAGGACTCTGCCCCCTACAAAAAAAAATGCACTTCTGTTCAGCTTGGGAGAGGGTCGGGAGCACCGCAGATTTTTCACGTCATGGGGGTATCGCACCATCACGTTTCATGCTGGGGCGTTTCGTACGTTGTGGCCGAGATTAAGCTATGTTTCTTGGCCCACTTTTCATATTGTCCGTACGAAGTTGAGCCTTCTTTCTTACCAAAATTTGTTTTAACTGCGGGCGCTATCTGTATTTGTACGCGAAGGGAAGGGGTGGCGAGTACCGTGAAACGCAGTACCTTTCTTCGAAGACCGTTCATTCGTTTACTCATGAAACAGAGCCGTAGAGCCAAGCGGCGGGGGGAGGTTCAGGGAACTCTTCGCGATATCTGGAAGGAAAAGCCATCAGGGTAGCTTGTGGTCTCCGCCGGGACAGTGATGTGCACTGGTGTTCCATGGTGCGACGCTGAAAAACGCTCGTTTTTTTTGTTGTTTCAAAAGAATGAGACAAATATTTGTCTACTTGGACTTCCTCCTTCTTTCGCTGCCGGCTATGCAGTACATTAGTTGGCCAAGTACAAACTGGTGTACTACTGTAGTTGATTTCAACACGTCCCCGACTGCTGAAAAGTACAAACTGGTTGTTTTTCTCCCATCATTGGACTCTGTCGTCTGCCCCTCTGGCCCCTATCCTCCACTTCTACTAGCTAGACGACCCAACCGGGGTCACATAGGAGGGGGCAGTTGGACCCCCTCCTGCGGTTCATGCCTGAGGTATTTTTATCGCGAGAAGGGTACAGCAATCCCTTCCCTCGCGACTTACGAAGTTGATTATGGTTTACTAACAAACGAGCTTTGCAGCGCGTCGCTTTCATCCCAGACCAGGATTTATTTAGTGACAAAAAAACTTTCTCTGCCGGGACTCAAACCCATGCCCTGGCCTTAAGCAGGCTGCGAGGCTACCCACTAGACCACCGGGGCGATCGGTGTGTGATGTACTGCTGTGGTTGTTTTCAACACGTCCCCGACTGCTGTACATCTCATTTCAAGTATTGTCAATATGTTCGACGTCAACAAACGGTCGCCAGTCGTTCGGCGATGCCGACTTTTCGTACCACCCCCTTCCTTAGCAAAAGACGCCTAGTTTGAGGTATGGCATGCCTCCATTGGCCCCAGGGATGGTGAGCTTTCATCCCCTGAATTTTAAGGACCCAACCCCGCTTTAAGGACGTTTTTTTCTTCAGGAAAAACCATGTGCGTCCTTGAAAGCAGGGTCGACTGTACGAGGATGCCGGTGTAGACAATATTTTGGCACGGACAAGAGAAGTATAAATAGTGCTGCTACAGCAGTAATACAGTCAGTGTTAACACGCAAAAACGAACGCTGCTGCAGGAGCCGAAGACTGTTCGAGACAAAAAACAAACAAACGTGATCTATCCAAGAAAATCATACAGGGGTGACACGGCAAATTCACCATGTACGCACGTTCACGTCTTGCTCGTGTATGGCAACGTGTTCCGCGGGAGGATTGGATTGACAAACACACAAGGCTCAAGGACCGGGGTCCATGCTCCGACACGCGGTGACGGCGCGCCTCCCTCTCCTTCAACCCTCAAATTGTGATCGAGGCGATACATTTGGGGCTGCCTCAAACGGAGGAGGGCATGTATACAACGACCTCAATCAGTCGAATATTCGAACCTGTTGTTTCATCGACATGGGAATAAACAAAACACCCCAACAACACAAACAAGAATCATGGCCGCTCTTTGGGTCTGCATACTATCTTATATAATAATAATGGTTCACTTGTTGGACGATTGAACGTAACAACTACCAACAGCCTGGAATGTAAGCCACCGTTCGGACGGGGGGGAATGGAATCATGATCATGTGAACGTATGCGTGCTACACCCGTGCATCCATCAACACGACAGTAAGCCCGCCTCCAAGTCCCGCACACCTTCATCTGCCACCGAAGCCATGGCGGGGCAGGGACCGAATGGGTAGGTGGGGGTTGAAAAAAAAAACAAAAAGAGAGAAAAGAAGGGAATCCGAAGATTCAGGCACCTTTGCTCACAGCGAGCACAAATACGACAAGCAGAGGTACGCACACAAGGGCAGCAGTAGTCACCGGTGCCCAAGGAGGCTCAGCTTGGCACGCAGGAGGGCAACGCGGGCCGGAGATCACACACACCTCTTGTTCTCGCAGATGAGCCGCAATGGACTGGCTCCTGTGTGTGCGTAACTCGAGCAGACCATTATATCTCACGACACAGCAGCAGCAGCAGGCGCGGCAGCCGCCTTGTGGCCATTTTCTACGACCCACAGCAGATACATTTTGCGGAAATTTTCGTGGATTCTTTTTCCCACCGTGATCGAATCGAACACACAACGAGGCCCACACGACACAAACAAAAGCGTTCCGCGGCGTCACACCAAACGAGCATGTTCCCGCTGTAGCCATGCTGGGCGAAGCAGCTCCAACGGGAAAGCCACGGGGAATCAAGATACAGTGAGAAGGAAGGATTGGACGCTGTAATTCCGGATAGAGCATTGGTCCGTGGGCCGCTCGTGCGTGTGTAGGAAAGGGATACCACCAAATGCGGGCACATATTTCGGGTCGTTGCACGATTCCCAAAAAAAATGCTTCCGACTTGGAAAATAGAGCTCTTTGATTCTCCGAATCGGGGCGGCGATCGTGCTGTGCTGCTGCAAGGGTGTGAAGCAACGCAGACGTTTCAGTGTAGCAGTGCTGGCGTGTTCCGAGAACGGAAGTCATACTGCCCAGTGACGCGCAGAGTGCTGTTGGTGTTGGGGGGGTCTCTGCCTGGAGAAGAGAACGCCCAAGGATCTACTCCTCGTTGTTTTCGAAGGCAGCGGCTAGTCCTCCGCGTCAAGGGTTGCATCTCGTTCATGTATTCGTTGTTGTTGTTGTTGTTGTTGTCTTCACACTAATATAATCCGTGAAAACAAAAGCAGCATCAGACACATAATTTCCAGGAACGAGACTGCGGCTAGCGCACAGCCAAGTCCTTTTCCGAGTCACAAGCTTCATGAGGAGCAAGCCCGTCTTACTGGAGCGTTCTCGCCCGTGGCCTCCATGCGCAAAAATCTCGAGATTCGCCTCTGAGCAATCGTAATAATTAGTACACTTTGTGTGCGCGATATTCTCGTTCTTGTGTTGTCGGGTGGAAGGTGCTGTGACGTTGATGTGGGTGACCGTCCACCGCAGTAATGCACTGCCGCAGATGCTGAAATGCGAAACCCGAAGCGCACATGTAGTCTCCAAAGACGGTACGCCAGGGCAGCGGCGATGTCGGCGACATCGGATCCCTCTCGGGCGTTTTCGAGAGCAAAAAAACGGGGGGAGAAAACTGTAACCTTTTCCCGTGAATAGAAAGCGTATGTAGTTAAAATGTGAACAGACCGTTCAATCATCGTTGCCACAGCCGACGCAGTTCGTGTGCCAAACAGCCAAACCGTACCTGAGCCATTGAGCTGGGCCACCTCTTCCTTCCCGTGTCCAGAAGTCATCTCCACGTGGTCATCTTCCTCGACTTTCGACATGGCGGTGGGCATGTGCCGCACCGGCAGCAGTCAGCTGCGCTCCCTTGTTAATTGCGGGCGGGATAAAGGTCGCCTTCCCACAAACGCCGAAAAATTACAGGCCCACGGTTACGTGTGCAGCAGCAGCTTTGCGCCGCTTCCCTCCGTTCCTTCTGCCTGGCGGAATCTCGAGAGATCCGGGAAGGAGGTCTGTCTCTTACTTACTGGACTGATGGGTCACTTCCACGTAGCCTACCGGCAGTGGAGGCAGACCGCCCGCGGAGGAAGAACCCGAAGTCAACCAACAATTCGTATGAATCTCGGAGGGCTGGAAAGAAGCAGAGTAGAGCCCGAACAAGCTGTCCGCGGTCCTCCGTGTGAGGGGGGCACGCGACTGTAAAAACAAAATTAGTTTTAGGGCATCCCCTCCACACCGTCCGTCTGCGGGCTCGCAGCACTGGGCCCTGACCTGTTACATGCTTATTTCTTGACATATTTATGCACGTCTTTCGGCACGTGCGTAAGCTCAAAAGGCGACTTATGCGCGCTGGTTGTGCTCAAAATGGCGACTTATGCACGCTGGTTATGCTCATTTTCCTCGCGTGTGCTCGTACTTCTGCACGCTTTTCTTTGTCCCTCGTGCTCGGGCAATTCTTGTTTTGGTCGTTAATGATTGACATACATACACCGGTCGCCCCGGTGGTCTAGTGGGTAGCCTCGCAGTCTGCTAAGGGCCAGGTCATGGGTTCGAGTCCCGGCAGAGAAAGTTTTTATCTCACGAAATAAATCCTGGTCTAGGATGAAAGCGACGCGCTGCAAAGCTCGTTTAGTTTGTTAGTAAACCATAATAATCAATCGACTTCGTAAGTCGCGAGGGAAGGGATTGCTGTACCCTTCTCGCGATAAAAATACCTCAGGCATGAACCGCAGGAGGGGGTCCAACCCCCCACTCCTGTGTGACCCCGGTTGGGTCGTCGAGCCAGTAGGAGTGGAGAATAGGGGCCAGAGGGGCAGACGGCAGATTCCAATGATGGGAGAGAAACAAACAAAAAACAAAACATGCGCGCACGGTTGGCTTCGTCGACACGCTTTCTTTGTCTATTATGCCGTCTCCCACCGTCGAAATGTATATGAATAACTGATTGTGTTGCTGTATCACACAGCGCAAATTATGTTGGACTCTTAGTCTAGTCTTTCAGGAAAAGTTTCTTCGACGCATCCGACTACTACTACTCTGCACTCGTTCGTTCTAATGAGTGTGAAGAGGGGACTACTTTCTTCCCGCATTCCCTTCACCCTTGGTCATGCGTGATCGCCATTCGGCAGACAGAGTACATATATATATTCATTTCTGGAATCAATCGCGGTAAAATACTTCAAGCAAAACAAATGCGCCTCCAACAGCCCCAGCGCCCCTGCTGTATGTAGCAAATGCGCCTCCAACAGCCCCTCCCTGCTGTAGCAGTGTCAAACCCATCAGAACACCAAATCGATTGCTGTCAGTGCCTCTAGAATCATGGACACATTCCATTTCCCCCTCATAATTAATTGTCGATGCAACGAAAAAAAGCAATAAATAGCCATAGCAGTGCGGGCTACTAGGTATGTATTCTATTATTGCTGTAAAATGGAACACCGCTGGCATACCACGTAATGGCCACTGAATAAACCAATCAGCAGGGTTGTTCCCTGTTTTTTTCTGCAACAACCTGCACAACTGCTGTTGTCTTCACATTAAAAACCATCCCGGTCTCTCTATCCAGTACCTCCTTCTGTCTCAATCTCTCCGTACTAATCCATCACTTGACTCGGCCAATTTCCGTGGTCACAGGCTAACGTACCTAGAAAAGGTATACCAAAATAAAATGGACCCCAAGGGTCAGCAGAGCGATAAAATACAAGAAAACAAAATATAGTCAGAAACAAATAAATGAAATAAAATGAAATAAAATAAATAATTAGACTAGTGGAACGGCCGCACCACCAGCCTGGGGG